TAATATGTTTTTACTTTTTCACCTAAGTTGTTTAACAAAGTGTGGATCTTATCAAAGTCTTCCAGTTAACAATATACAACGTTTGTAAGTTTTAAGCTCATCTAAAGCTAATCAGATGACAGACTAGTCTGTAAGATGTCGGGAACATATAGAGTTATTGTCCGGTGAACTAACTCACGAAACAGTATTAATCTGAACATAGCTTTCACTACGGATCGACAACAGCTGAATAACACAACTGAAAATGATGAAGAACACTGGAACGTTGTTCCATTCTATCATAGACTTCTCACCTGTGTGCACCCTTAAACCCAGAACTATAAACTATAGGTTCAGTGTGGCAATTTACTTGGCTATGGCTAGAGAGGGAATCCTGGACGCGCGTCTCGTCCTATTTGGGACTCATCAGCTGGGTGCATCTGCACCCCAGTGAGTGTTGTTCCCCACTAGGATATGAACCTCATGACCATCGCTTCAAACGCCAAAGAGTTATCCACTAGGCCACTGAGGTACGACAGCCACGTCTTATACAACGGGTATTAGTCATTACTATTTGTTGATATACATGTAATTCTACGTTGTTTTGCTGGATCAAGTTGTTCGACCCCTATTGACATATGGGCTTCTATACGAATACCTAGATACTACCGAATATGATGTTACTTTTATCAACATCACTCAACTGGGTGCAGGTATATCCAGCTGACTAATCCTAAATAGGACGAAACGTGCGTCCTAGATTCCTCTGCTAGCCACAACCAAGTAAATTATGTTAATAAATATTCAGGCAATATCGAGCATCTGCATAGTAGCCCATATTGCCGATAGAGGTCGAACAATTAGATTCAATAAAACAATAATTACAAGTAGACCAACACATAGTGTTAGTGGTAAGCTTGTTATTATTCAACTACTTGTTACAGTGGTCTACACTTTGAAACGTTAAGTCACAACAATGTTGGGAAAGGCTTAATATAATGGTAATTCTCATCACAAATTGATAACTAAAATTTCTTGTACTTCTATAATACGTACAAAACCAATTACAAGGCAACTGAAACTAAACAACTACTACTAACTTCAGCTTAACTTCTTACAAATACATAAACAACCAATATTAATAAGTTTATTTAAGAGGACTGGTTATGACCCTAAGCTGTATCAAAGTTAGGATTGATGACATACTTCGATACTTCATAGATTAGTTCTGCTTAGATACATATTTAGCACTTATCTGGTAAGAGACTAACCACCTCTATGTTATCGCTGTTCATAGTGAATCATATTACTTTGAGTTATAACTCGTAAAAATTCAAAGTGTTGTAGATATAACAATAGCTAAATAATCCTAATCAATACTCATAAAATCATAATGATATAGAAAGCATTAGATAATTTATTAACTTAATTGTATATTGAGGATAACTATGCTAATGAAAGTTCAACGTGTGAAATATGCACATAATGATTTGAAAGAAGAATAAGTATTTCAGCAAAGAGTCTCTTTTCGACGATTTCATTTCCTAAGCTGTACAATCACAAATTTATACATTTTTTCTAGTGTAAGGAGTTGATAGTCAAAAAAAAACGGTTTGTCCATTACATGACAGTCAACACAAATAGTGTCAATTAATGAGTTGTCATTAAAATCAAAAAAGAACCCAAAAAAAACTGATGAGTAGTGAATATGAATCAGAATAAGTTTGAACAAGAAGTTTCGAAACTGAATTATGATCATAGTAAAGATGGATAGCGGTTAGCAGTGAAATCCAGGATGCGCATTTCATCCTATTTGGGACTCGTCAGCTGGATGTGTCTGCCTCCTAGTGAGTGGTCAGGCAGAACATAGCAACGCGAATGGGTAGCAAGTTTCTTAAGAAGTGAATAGCGTCGAAACCTCAAGGGTGAATCTAATTGCTGGTTAGCAGTTATTGAATATTCGTAGAACGTGATTCAAAACATATTAATGATCACAGATAATAAAAGTATCGTCCATGTACCTTTTGTACAGATGAAAACCTTCAATTGTTGACTTCAAGGGTTCATAAACGATCTAACAAATGTATGATATCACTTGATGTTGATTCACCTTTCACCAATGTGTCACTTGCCAAAACTATCTCATTCTTATGCAGATACATAGATGACAACATAAATGTTGGGATACCGACCTTCCACCTTAAGGAACTCTTACTTAGATGTGCACTCAACGTTCAGTTCACATTTAACGACGTGGTTTACAGACAGAAAGATGGAATCGCCAAGGGATCCCCACTAGGTTCACTAATAGCAGACTCCTTTAAGACCACTTTGGAGGATGGACCCTTGAAGTCAACAATTGAAGGTTTTCATCTGTACAAAAGGTACATGGACGATACTTTTATTATCTGTGATCATTAATATGTTTTGAATCACGTTCTACGAATATTCAATAACTGCTAACCAGCAATTAGATTCACCCTTGAGGTCTAAAATTGATCGAAAACTCACTTTCTTGATTTAAAGCTGACAAGAAACAACTGATGTAAAGTTAAGCAGGTCAATTTAAAGAAAACCAATGTGGAATAGTCAACTGACGAACTTTAATAGCTGGGTCCCAATGAGTCATACGCGAAATTTGATCATATCTCTTGTCACTCCCACTAGAAGAATCTGCAGTCCCTATTTGTGAGAAGGAATTTTGTTCTAAACAACATTCTGATTGAAAACGGCTTCCCACCACACTTCATAGACAAACACATGAAACGTAAACCTCGCAAAGAGGACTTTACCATCGTACCAAAGAAAATACTCCATATGAATCACAACTTAAAAGGTGATTCTGCCGCTGAAACTCTAAAAAGGAGGATATCGAACTCTCTAAGGAGGAAATTATTTGCATCAACGCTGAGACTAGTATTCTCTTGTTACCCAGTGATTCCTAACAACTCAAAGGAGAAACTTTCGCATCTGACCACTTCTATGTGCATATATTAATTCCCCTGCTCTTGTGCAGCCAGGTATACACGTCGTTCGATACGACTGTTATCCAAAAGGGTTCAAGAACAAAATCCCGCGTGGTTACGAAGAGGTAACAATGGAGCGATAAGGAGTACTATAATTGAACACATCGTCAACAAAAATCACCATGTCTCAAAAACCTCGTCGTTTAAAGTTATCGACAAAGTGAAAAGAAACTTTCCAAAGGCTGTATATCTTCGTATTCTCTGCATCGCCGAAGCTCTTGTCATCCAAGTGGAGAAGCCTGACCTGTGTACACAAAAGAAGATTGTTCAACCCCTTCTCCTTTCATGGTCTTAGTTTTCAGTCTCCTCTACTGCCCCCATTTTTTCTTCTCATCCTTCTGTTTCGATACTATTCACTTCTTAAGAAACTTGCTACCCATTCGCGTTGCTATGTTCTGCCTGACCACTCACTAGGAGGCAGGCACATCCAGCTGACGAGTCCCAAATAGGATGAAATGCGCATCCTGGATTTCACTGCTAACCGCTATCCATCTTTACTATGATCATAATTCAGTTTCGAAACTTCTTGTTCAAACTTATTCTGATTCATATTCACTACTCATCAGTTTTTTTTGGGTTCTTTTTTGATTTTAATGACAACTCATTAATTGACACTATTTGTGTTGACTGTCATGTAATGGACAAACCGTTTTTTTTGACTATCAACTCCTTACACTAGAAAAAATGTATAAATTTGTGATTGTACAGCTTAGGAAATGAAATCGTCGAAAAGAGACTTTTCGCTGAAAGTTCAATGGTCGGATTATTGGAAACATGATAAACTTACCTCAATATAAAAGTAAAGCTTGAGCACTGTGGTACATTGTAATTCTTGGTTGTATTGTGTTCTCTGAGGTTGATTGTTTAATCGTGAAGCTTTCATCGTCTTGCCAGACGACATCATTAATAGAAATACGTTTGGTCCACGGTAATAATTTTTAAACTGTTTTTCCTACCCCTTCCCCCTCAATCCCTGTGTCACCTGTTGTCCAATTAAAATAGACGATGAAATGTCCCATGTTATTGGTTGCACGAAATCGAAAGGTACTATAAAAGGGAGCTTCATTTTCATGATGAGCGACGATACCGTCCAAAGTGTTGTAACCGAAAACGAATCGATTATTATGGAGCGTTTTTGTCTCACCGCGTTTCCATCGTTAGAGTCTTTGAAGGTCACCCTGAAGGAATATGAGAAACAGACGTACACACACTACGTTGTGCGAGATTCACATTTGCAAGGTGACCGAAGAGCTTACGTTAAGTTTGTCTGCTATAAGGCTAGTGAACACCGGTCAATAGTTGGTGTAATGACAAGAAAGTCAGTTCTGTTTCTTTTCATTATTTACTATGCAATCAATGACACAACAATCTAGGGAAACAACCAATGAGAAACCATTTCGTCAAGGCAAGCCACTAAACCACTCACGGACACATTAATAGAAAGACGATGAAAGCTTCATAATTAAACAATCCAGCTCAGAGAACACAATACAACCAAGACCATCCACCTGATCTATAAATATTCTCCATTATTACATTGTAATTTCATTTTAGTTGATTTATATTCAATGTATCATACGGTGAAATAGCACTATTTACTGGATTACATTTCAGACACAATTTAATGTCCATAGTCATATCAAGGCAATTCCACAACTTTGAGATATGGTTTATAAATAACCAACTTATGGAATTACATTGATATTACAATAAACTGCATGAGAAACGTAATTCTGTAAATAATACTGTTTTACTGTGTGGTAAACCAATTAAAATGGAATAAACTTACCTTACCTTGAAGCTAATTGCTCTTAATATCAAGATATCTGATAATTTTTATCGACTATAAGATGTATCTGATATCTTATATTTAAAACATAATCAAATGGTACTAAAGCCAGTTAATTATAGAATACATATACTTCATAATTATTATTGACAAGGTTGTATTAACACTAAACAATAAGATGGATAGAATGAGAAAATTGTACATACCAGAGTCTTGATCAATAAATTTATGTCTGTACAGAAAATCCAAAACAACCATAGCTGAATTCGATTTGAAGCGTTCATCGAAGATAAGCTGTTTAATCTTTACAACAACATTAAAAAAAGAGGTGAAAAATGAAGTAAAAATTAGGTATATTTTCAGCAGCGTTCCAGTTATTTCATATGTGTTATACAATAACAGAAATATGATACATATGCAAAGAAAATAGGTAATTATTATGAGTTCAACTTGAAAACTGTATAACAACTATTGAAATTGATTTTAACTAGTTCCAAAAAAAGTTTGTTTGATAGGTTATTACTCAAAAGTTTCATGATAGATCAGGCAAAATAGATAATCAAATGACATCGACTTATGCAGATAATGAAAGACTATTTGGGATAGCGAATTAAATATTTACTTATGTATACATATGTGTGCTTGTGTATGAAACAGCATGTTTGTTTCCAATCAATGATTCTAGGGTCTTTTATGCGAACTAAAAGGTTAAATTTATGTAAATAATGAACATGAAGTAAAAAAAACGCTTTTTCTTCATACTAAAATATTCAGTCGCATAAAAAAGAAACATATTAAAACTGTCAACATTCGATACAACAATCTAATTGACAAGAAGGAGAAAAAAAAAGAAAGAATACTTGATACAATAGCATATTAGTTAAACTCTAAACCTAGAAATGTTAGACAACCTAACAATAAAATGAAAAAAAAAGAAAAACAGGTGACTGGAGACTATAATTCCAGTGAACTTTTGAATCGAGTTTAACAAATTTACTAATTTATCATGACCCTACATATTTTGCAATATCATCATAGTGTTAACAACAACATCAACAACTACCATTCTTCTAGATAAATTTGTGCATGCTTAATGTTAGAAACCAGGGATTACAAATAATTATGTGTGATACAATCTAATCTGACTTATTATAGACTTAAAACTTTGTAATTAAATAATCAGTAAAAATTAATGCATGTTGGAAAACTGATACCCTGTAAAAAAAGAGTAACATGGATGTTTACATTCAGTATAGCACCTGTTAGTTCAATTTTATTTAGGTCGTACCATATCATGAACTGACAGAAGTAGGAGATATGAACCATCGGATTCCTAACCAGTGGTTCCACGGGACAAGAGGAACCAGTGGTTGGAGACCCTAGGTGATATGGCTCAGAACCGAAGTCAGTGGCGCAGATGTATACACACATTATCCTCATCTTAACAACGCTATACCGAATCTCACTATTTTGCCACTCCTCTTTCCTTTCTTCTCATACTTTATATTTCTTTTGACTGCATTCACTTATCTTCATCCTTCACCTCACTACCTTTTTACTTGATGTGCTGATATGAGGTGTGGCAACTCGGACCGTTACGCAGTAATGCCTGGTCCTATGTTGATAATGATGATGATGATGATAACCAGTGACTTAGTGAAGACGTATTGCTTGCGTTATCTAAAGCTACTGGGCTCGATTCCTGACTACATCGTATAATAATTTCATACTGCTGAGAAGTCCCATACTAGGACGAAACAACTACCCAGGCTTCTAACGTTTCTCCAACTGATGTCACATCATAATGAATGCCAATATTAAATCAATTTTATTTGGCTGTTCAACTGACAAGTATGGACTCAGTAAAGTGGAAGAAGAAAGTTAACGTTTAACGTCATAACCAGGAAAATGAGCTTAGAAAAACACTACAAAAAGTTGACTGGAAAACTAGTGTTTCCAAACTTAATGAACAAAAAGACTCTAAGCAGTTATACAACACTTAAATATGATAAAATTGCAGCTAGTTAAATAGCTCTTCTGCTTTCTTTTGTTAATCTTCTAATTCTATACCAGGAAATGACCGTCTACAACGATGAATGGCTTCGATCTAAGTGATCAATAAGAATTCCAAACTTTGGAAAAAATCATAAACATGCTCCTGGACTTAAAAAGCCTTACTGTATAACTACTTATTTTCCTAGCTAATGGCCTGATCGTGATGTATAAAATCTAAAATGAAGAATTATGAGAATCTCCCCGTTGATGACTCTTAAATAGTTTCCCTTTCGATAATAGATGATTAGGTTGATTCTTTTTCAAATGACAACCAAATTTACTCAGATGCTACTGGATAGTAAAGGGTAAAAAAACTAAGGGATACTGTTTTATATTGTAATCACCAATGTAAATGAATTTAATATTTCATCTTTCTAAAAACCTTGACTCGATAGTAATCTCCTTATACTGAATGATCATTGAAGGTGAGATCAAAATTTGGGTCACCACAGGATTCGGACCAACGACCATTATGAGTACAAGTCTGCTCAAACAATGTCATATCAGATAGTCAAAGTTATGTGATCTGTTTATCAGTATATTTTAACTCTACTCAAGTTCTCATTCTGGCTTATTCCGTTGTTTTTATTTCTGTTCATCTTCTGGATTATGTACTATTATGAAATGAGGAAGGTTAAGCATACAGCTAGCAACCCTACCCCAGAAAACCAGTCCAATCGCTAAACAAAATCCAAAGCACAGAAAAAACATTAAAAATAAACTTATTCCTCGCTGGACTCGGAAAAACAAAATCACACCAGTTGGTCAAACCCTTCGGGAAGCCAACTGACCGATGTGTCTTCTCTCTCTCTCTCTCTCTCTCTCTCTCTCTTCATTAAATCGAAAGTAAGATTGGGGACATGGAATCCCTTCACCATGTATCAACCTGACAAGGCTTCCCAGATCTCATAACAGATGAGGAGGTATAGCATAGAAGTGCTAGGCTGGGAATCTGCAAAAGAAGATGCAATCGAAGTCGACTCTCAAACTCTCAACTGCAGAGTCAATAATCTACTCCGATATTGTCACACAGATGACAACCACGAGTATATTGAGTTATGGAGTAGCTATCATGATACCTCCAACAACATCAAACGCTCTCAGGCAGTGGGAACCAATCTCATCCTCCACCATCAGCATCATGACAGCAAGATTCTAGTCAAAAGGAAGCAAGCTCACAATCATACAATGCTACACTATGCACCTACAAGAGAAGAAGGAGGAATTCTACATACAACTGCAATCACCACTGGACAACACCCCCACCACAGTTGGCGACATCAAAATCAATTCTAATGGGTGGGGTGACATGAATGCCAAACTGCGAGTGGACAACACACGAAAAGAACTCATCATGGCTCGAGAAGCACTCGCTGAAATGAACCAGAATGCACAACTGTTCGCACACTTCTGCGCATTTATTCATTTGGTGATTGCAGGCACTGTGTACAAACACAAGGACATTCACAAACCGAGCGACATGCATTTCAAAAGACACCAGACACACTAAGAATCAGATTGACTTCATCTCAATGTGAAGAAAGTGGAGGCACAGCCTATGGGACACAAGATCAGATTAACAAGAGGAGCAGATGTAGGTTCACACAACTCATTATCTAGTGCAAGGAACCCTCAAAATCACGTTGAAAGCCTCCACAGAAGTTGGTGATAGACCACAGTTGAAGTTGAACACCCGGAACAGTAACTGAAGGACGAAACTTCAAACGACATCTTCCCGTCAGTCTGTCATACGGAAAAAATGGGAGAAGAGGGGCATATGCTGGACTGATTAAAAGACCACAGAAGAACATTTGGATTACGTTGACGATGATTAATGTCTGGTCACACGATCTCAATGATCTACAGATGAAAATAACTATTTGACAGAAGAGGCGAGGCAGCGAAAACGAGACTTCAAGTGAATGTACACAAAACACAGGTGATGAAGATACCCAACCAACCACCACCAACAACAACAACAACAACAAACACCAATCATCATCAAAGCGAGAAACCTAAAGCAAGTTGTCTCTCTCACTCACCAACCTACGCAGCATCGTTTCAACTACAGGTGGCGCCCCACAGGCACAGACGAGAATATCAATGCAGCCAGGATCCCAAAGACAGAAACACAGGACTTCCTGCATTAATCTGAAATCAGTGTGCAGATCTACTGCACTGCACTCACCACAAAGCGTCAACAACATCCGGATTCTCAACACCAATTCAGTCAAGTCAGTGCTTCTGTGTGGTTTAGAAACTTGGTGCGTCACCAAAAGCACTTACAACAAACTGTAGACATGCATCAACAGCTACTGCTTACGCTCACTTGATACTGAAGATCAGATGGTCAGAATAATAAGAATAAGCAACAAGGAACTCTAGCTGGCTGGCAACAAACCAGGGAAGAAACCATTGCCCGACAAATATGCAGGAGAATAAAGTGGAGATGGATTGGACATACATTGAGAAGACCATTCGGGGACATCACGCACTAAGTCCTCAAGTGGAACCCAAAGGGGAAATGACGAGTTGGGCGTCCGAGGGTGGCACGAAGGAGATCGTGTGAGGAAGAAATGAAAGCTTTTGGGCAGTCGTGGAGCCAGCTTCAAAAGACTGCAACGAAGAGAGTGAAATGGCGACGTGGTACGGAAGTCCTGTGTTCCACTGGGAACGTAAGGGACAAATGATAATAATAATAATACTCTGTGTTCATCAGTTAATCATTCAATATGTTCTGTTCCAGAAATTTTTTTCCGCTTTAAATTACTAATCCTCAATATTTCCATACCTTAAAGTCTAATTCTTATCCACAGTTGTCCAAATGCCGTAATATAAGAGAAGATCTATCACGATGCCTATCTGCTTTTCATGTGGACATATTTCTAAAAGCCAATGATAGTGTATTTTTCCAAAGATTTTCCACCTGTCTTTGTTTATTTATTGTGTCCATAAGTTCATATGAAATGAGATCGATGGGTAAAATCAATTCAGAAAGGTCACAACAGCCTGATTATAATTTTCTAGGAATTATTTTTATACATACAGAGTATATAATCTATTTTTCAGTTGAGACAAGGAAAAAACCTTCAGGCTGATGATCAATAGGATGAATATGTTTAGATATATTTTGATTGGTAGGTATTCTTTTCCCAAAATATTCTTCTGTTTTCTACAACGCAAATAATCTTCAATGTATAATTTTACTCTTTTCAATAGAATCACTATAAAATTATTATAATGTATAT